TGTGTCAACATTTCCAGCTCTTGTGTTTGTGTTAGTCGCCATGAATTTGGTTTTATTTTGATTTATATGTAACCCCATTCGTTCTGCTGCTGCTACTAGCTCGGTTAGGATTGCCACAGTTCTCGCCCTAGTTCTTGTTATAATGTCCACGTCGTCTGCATATGCTAGAATTTGGACTGACCTATTAAATATTGTTCCCCTGCTATCTAAATTAGCGTCTCGTACAACTTTTGCCAAAAGATTAAAGAATTATAATTAAATTAAAAAAAAAAACGAAGGGCGCCTATGCTAGTTTTACCTTATACCATAGCATTGGGAATGATTTCTTGTACAGCTATATATACTTCTGAGAGCTAAAAGTAGCTTGTTATCAATCCCTCTCTATTCAATAGCTTTCCATATTTCCTCAAAGGCTTTTTCAAGATCGACAAAACCGAAACAGTTTATCATTGTTACATTAGCACTTTCTCTGCTAACTTTGGTACTGTGAATATTAAATCTGCTGTACCCCTTCCTAGTCTGAAGCCGCATTGATTATCATCTAATGTTTTTTTACCATTTCTTAATATTTTCTCTAGAATTATTTATAGATAACTATACTAGATACTTTGTATACTACGCTCAGAATAGATATGCCCTCCGTAATTTGAGCATTTCTTTTTATCTCTTTTTTTGTATATTGGGAGGATGTTCGCAAGTGTCCAGTTTTAGGAATACGGTTGTTTTTCCAGGCCAAATTTGTAGTTTTATGCAGTAGTGTTATTCCGACTTCTGGCATGCATTTTATCATTTCCGGCTTAATATTATCTGAGCCTGCTGACATCCCCTTCTTTAATCTGCTTATCGACTCGACATCTCTTGAACCTTTTTACTATTTTGTAGTAGGTAGTCTGGAGATTGGTTTGTTTTCGCTCTTCAATACTGGTGTAGCAAATGCTTTTATAAACTAATTTTCAAAGCAGACTGTAATTATATGTGAAAATCTTACCTTGCCAACTGGTAGGGTCGAATTCAAATCCTTCAGTTATACTAGGGTAAGGAAGGAAGGAAAAATGGGTAACTTATTTTTAAAATAACTGAACCGGCGTTTTCATTGGTTTCGACTAGTGTGCTTAGAATAAAAAATAATACAAGGAGACCAAAACAAATACATTTGTCTGCATGTCATCTTCAAATAAATCTTGTGGTATCTGCTTTACCTTTCTTAAATTTTTGAGTGTTATACAGTGTCGAGTGACTGAGGAGTAGGCAGATTGAGACGTCAGTGCCGTTTGACGATTCTTGTATTTCTACATAACAAGATACTGGTACGTCACGAGTGAGGGGAGTAGGCATATTGAAATCACGAACTCGAACGGAACCACATCCCTCTTGATAATGACTCCAAAATGGGTGCCGAAACGTCGAGTTTTACATTCTCAACGCGGTTCTTCCCGAGAACTTAGTAATTTTTATTTACGTGACCGCGTAAATTTATTCGAACATTTATACACTCCTGGTCAACAAAATCCAGACACTTGGATTTTGTATGTTCTTCTTTAATTCTGTAGGTGTTAAGTACTTTAAATGGGGAGGAAATAAAACATTAATAATAGAAATCGTTTATTTAAAACACTAAAGAAGTAATAGGAAAAATAAGTTCCCTAGAAAAAAGTAATAAATAACCCAAAAAATTAACATTGTTTCAAAAATTAAACAAAAAAAACAAATTTTTATTTGCCAACAGTTGGCTGTATCGGGTATTGCCTCCCCCATATATGCGGAAGATTTCAATATGCCTAGGCATACTTGCAAGAAGTTGCTGAATCTGTTCTTGCGGTAGGTATATGTTCCCATTCTTCATTCAATACTCTTTTCAGCTCTTGAATCGTTTCTGGTAATGGTTGTTTCTTTTTAATCTTTCCCTAAAATTTCCCATAAATATTCTAATGGATTCATGTTAGGACTAAATTCGAACCAATGCAAAACATGAATTCGGACAGTATTTAGGTAGTCATGACGATTCACGTAGTATGTGGACGCGCATTATCCTGGACGAAAGAACATTGTCCTTGAGACACTGCCGTGTATATATGTTTGCTGTTAGAGTTACATGTTTGATGAAAAATAATTCGATGCGTTTGTTAAAATAAATACTCTCCCATACCATAAAATAGTCGCCACCAAATGGCGTGATGATTCGTAAACCTCATCCTATTAGATCGATGGACTGCTGTTAATGTAGGGCATGCTACTGGCTTATCAGAACGAAAACCACTTTCACGCAGGATTTTCTTTCAGTTCGTGCAGAATTATGAGTTCCTTCTAGGCAGAACTATGATTCTAACTTACGACACTAGCGAGAACATTTGACGTTAAAGAGCGGTTCCGTTATGTGCAAATCTTCACAAAAAACGTTCATCACGCTGATATCTGCACCTTTTTCTGCCTGATCCTGGATTTCTAGTGTATTCCCGTCTTATGATACCTACTTCGTAAGAGCGTCATGGACGGCACTTTTGGCAATATTCAAATGATTTGGAATATAATGTATACTGCGACCCTCTTCATGTAATGCAACAATTTTTGAATTGTTTTCGAGAGCCATACTAACACGATTTGTTCGTGTAACTAGTAAATAGTGATCTGAGTTTGTCAGAATAAACCTCCAGCGTATCGTAAAAAAAAATAAAAATTGCAAAAAATCTGTTGCTAGTTAAAAAGATAGAATATTATTTTTTGCCAAATGTCCAAATGTTGGTTCTACGGCGACGCGATAATTTACAAACATTAAAAGAACCGTTTTTATATAAAAAATGCAAGTGGTCCGGATTTTTTTTGACCAGGAGTTTATATATATATATATATATATATATATATATATATATATATATAATATATATATATATATATATATATATATATGTACGTATGCATCTAACAAAGTATCAGACAAGACTCGACAACAATGTTCTGAATTTGGTAAAGACCTACATCTCAGACATGTGCTTCCTTTTCTATCATCTGGCACTTGGCTATCTTGGGATAGTGTAGGTACAACAAAAACAACAAACAAATGGAATAATAAAATTCTTCTGGAAAATGACAAAAACAAACAATACTACAATTTTTTGTCTAGTTTGTAAATAAGTATAAAATAAATTCATCAAAATTTAAAAAATGCTTTATTGATATTTTTTACATGTGAAAATAAAAAAAAATTGATGAATGAGTCTAACAAAATAAAATTTTATAATTTTATAAGTGTATTTAAAGTACATCAGTATCAGGCGGTTCTAAAATAATTAATGAAATAAAAGTATTAAATAAAGAAATAACCAAAATCACCAAACCATATAACCTAACCCAATTATTAAGATCACAATATTATAACATTTATCAAATTTTGTACAAACATATTTTATGTATTAAATAAAGTTTATAACCTATGTTTTTCCCTGTAAGGCCCTAAGTCTATCCGAGGTCCATACAAAAATATGGAATTATTTTGTAAAATATACAAAATAATTCCATAAAAGTAAGATGGCGGATGCACATTGACTCCAAAGCCAATAACACTCAAACACACACACACACACACACACACACACACACACACACACACACACACACACACACACACACACACACACACACACACACCACACACACAGAGTATACCAGAAGCAATAATATCAAAAAACTGGTTTTGTTATGGCTGTAGTATTCGCTCCGTGGGTCTCTCCTCCATTTACAGTCACGTGTCACGTGACACGCTGTCAGATTTGTGAGGACGTTTTAGTATTGAGTCTTATGGGATTATTTTGTTAAACTTAAATATTTTATTTTGTAGCGTTAATATCAGGATACAATTTTTAGAATTAATTAGTTATCTATTTATAGTGACATTTATAGTTCAACAAAAATATTTTTTGTCGTTATAAAAGATTTATTAACATAATCTACGAAAGTGAGGTTATATATACATGATTAACATCCATGGTACAATGAATATGTTCATTTTTACCATGCACAAAAGCCTCCTGATAAAATTTCAAGCAATCGCCACCATGAGCAGGTCAGTCGATTTTGCTTTGACACTTTGTTAACCCTCGGAGCGAATACTTATGACAAGCACTAGTGAACAATAAAAATAATATAAAATGTAACATTACCATTGATTTGAGACATTAAAAGATATAGACTATATTTATTTATATAGTTTTACTACAATTATTTTGCAAAGTAAATGTGTTTCAAAAACAGTTTTATATAGATAATTTTTGGAAGACACGTACATCAACTTTTTAAACTGTCTATAGGTGCATACAGGATTGCCACCCAAAGTTAAAATAAAAATTCAACATATCATTAATAAATCCCATTTTTTAGCTACACATTGTATAAAAAGCTTTTTAAATGATATACTGAAATATACGAGTATATTTAACCATTCAATAATTTTCACGATTTCAATATAATATAACCAATCAATATTTTCCACAAGGAACTGAATTCCTGTAGTTGGCTATATACCATGTATCACAAAAAAATTTTATTTAAAAAAGTCCTTTATAAAAGGTATATTAATATAAAGACCCTATCAGGCTATACCACAGAATGTTTTTGAAATAACAATTCCATTGTTGCTTTAAACAAGTCCTTAGACCTTAGATATTACCATGTTAATAATTCTGTTTACAACTTATATGTAATTCAAAGTAGTTAATCTACCTACAATGAAAGGGTTTTACCCATATATTTAGTGGCTTCAAACATGTAAATCCAGATAGCACTGATGATGAAATAGTTATTCTGTGATGTAGCCCGATAGGGATTTTTAATAAAAAAATTTTTAATAAAAATTTTTTATTCAATAATTTATTATTAAAATCACATAGATGTATCAGATAGTGTCAGTAATTAACTAGAAACTTCTTGGTGGACTAAAAGCCTCTTTTTTGGTGGACTAATTGGGAGTTTTTACTGTACAACTCGAAATACAAATAATCTCTAATTTTATAACAAACACTACAAAATTTTAATAAAAACACCAATAAAACAAACAATAGTTAATAATACATTAAATACAATACAGAGTGAGTCACCAGTAATGGGAAAAATTATAGCTAACTGAATGATTTTTTCTTTTCAATGTGAGACATCTGCAAATGCACTCCAATTTAATAACATACTGTTTATTTGTTATATAAAATAGCTGTAACATACTTCTCATACTCTGTATAGCCAAAGTAACTGATTTATAAACAAAAATTTATTTAATTCTTGCAGCTTTCAAGACTGTAGCATTATTATTAGGTAAAGTATTCTAGACATTCTGACTCATTCTATATAATTAGACAAAAATAATTATTAATAAATAAAGGAATGATATTTTTTTTTAACAATTAACTATTAAATATCTTTCAATTTTGACATAAGCTCATCTAAACTAATTTCATTAGCTGCTGTAGCTTCTTCACATTCCTCAACAGCATTCTGGTTAGGTAATGCATAAGCCAATTGAACACCCTGTGCAATATCGACCTCTTCCTTGACATCTAAACTCTCATCTACTAAACTAATACCCCACTCATTATCTTCATGTACAGGCTTTTCTTCTTTAGCCTCCACAGCTATTTCTGGCTTGGGTTTTAAGGCAAAATCTCGTTGTCTTGATCTACAGTGTGAATCTTCACAGTTTGGATTAGGTTTTAGACTCATTGTTGGAAAGAAATCTGTTAATGCACTGTATCCTAAATAATTTGTGACTTGGCCAAACTGAAGAAGATATTTCAAGGTATTTTGGACCAGAAAACCTGCTACTATACCCATAGTAGTTGGAAGACTAGCAGCACATACTCCATCTCTTTTTAAAGTACTCTCATCTATGTTTGATGCAACAATCAGAGGTGGAGCACACTGTAAATTTAAAATATATAAATTACAATATATTATGGAAATGGATAGAATTAATGCTATGGTTTTATTTTCTTTCATTATAATAATTAGGGAGGTTATAATTATTAATAATAGGGAGGTTGAAATTGTAGAAAATAGTATAAAACCTTTTCCCCAAAACATATACTTACAGCAAAACAGGCTGTTTCTCCAGGTACAATAAATTGAATATGTCCAGATACAGCATTCTCTGAGACTCCAGATTCAAACCAAGTCAAATTGAATTCATTACAAGCAGTATTAATAGCAAATCTAGCTTCAAAATTATCCACACAACTTAATACCACATCTATAGGGCCCCCAGTCAAACTGCTTGTTCTGAAACAAACTAAGAGCATTATTGCAATCCTTAAGTAATGTAATGGATGGATTCAAAAACAGATTTACAACTTAAGGATCAAAATGAATAGTAAAAAATAAGTTTGGTCACATACCTTAAAACCTCAGTAAAATTATCAAAGTTTTCTACTGTAGTAATATTGTAGTTGTAAGTATGAATATCAACATCTGGGTTGATGCTTCTTAAAGTTTCTGCAGCAGCTTCTACTTTACTTAATCCAGACTGATGGGGTTGGAAAAATAGTCTGTTCATGTTTGCAAGTTCAACTTTATCATAATCAAATAAAATCAGTCTTCCGATGCCACATCTGGTAAGCATTTCAGCTGTAACACTTCCTACACCTCCAACACCCACAACTGCTACTGTGTAATCTCTAATCTTTTCATAGTTGTTGACTATGCCCATACGTTTAAGTGCCATGAGGCGACTAAAATATTAAAAGATAGTTAAAAACAAAGTATGTATAAGAGTAAAGCTGATAATAGAAGTTGTAGAGCCACTTTTCCTTCACGAGCTTTAAATATGTATTACATATCTCATTAGACTTATAATATAAAAATCTAGCGGGGAACATATTAAAATTAGCAAATATTTTATAACAGTTATTTGCGGCACCAACGCTATTTATATTCAGAAATTTCTGCTTTATATTGAATTCACCATGATACATACCTGTATGGATTTGAATCTATGACTTCAGACGACATTTCTTTAATCTTTTGCCGAACATTTTTCTGTTTAGCAGCTTCTAATTTTTCTTTTAAATCCTTTATTTGAGCTAACAAATCCTCCTGACTCATTTTGTTATTTAAATAAGTCGTTCAACATTCAACATATGTTTGACTCCTATACCCCTATACAACTTCTTTCCAACTGTCACGACTGTCACTGTCACGGTGCTGTCACGATGCTGTCACTGTCAAACTCAAACTGAAAGTTGAAAGAAATCAGAGAAATGTCAAATTCTTCTTTTTGAAATACAGATGTCATTTCATTTAGAAGATAAATCCTTCCGTTTATAATCTGTGTTCTGTGCCCCACATCGAGTTAGAAGAACTTTAGAATCTAGATTTTAACTCGATGGTGCCCCACCACAATGAAAATGCAAACGATAAACAACAATTATAGAATAGTAAAAAAAATCAGATTAATTTTTTTAAAGTCTCATCATATTGCTCTTTAAACGACTTTCTTAATTACAGAAAACATAAAATATGACTACAGATTGACTATTATCTTTGTTTCCATATCATGTTTGGCCTTGTTTTGGTCTATGACTTAAACCCACCAATAAAGAAAAAATCGCGGTCCGTCAAATAAAAATTCTTAAAAAAATATAGAACATCCAATGTGTTGAAAAACTAAAAATACGATAGTGAGAAAGAACTATTATTGAAAATATTTACCGAAATACCAGAAGAAAAATTGATAAAATATTTATGGTAGTTTAGTTTCACAAAGGTAAAGGATAAAAACATATACAGCCTTTATAAGACAGAGAAGCAAAAGTAGAATGCATAGAACACGATCTAAAAAAACGCCGGTAAAAGGATTATTACTAATAAAAAATATTTATTATCCTAGATTCCTAGTAAGCAATTTTAAAAAGTAATACACAAAATACACAAAAAAGAATCTGATATTTTAAATAGCCTGCTGTATTTTATGATATAGATGCAGAAATTTCAAAAATAAGTGGAATATGTTGCCACAATCGTACTATGTATGTTGCTAACTTCACACAGTTATCTCAAAGCATTATTAAAAAGTTTGTTGTAAAAAATTTGAGTTAGGTTATGTTAAAGAATGAACTAATTGAGAATGTATTGTAAATTATTTGCTTAATTTATATAAATATTCTGAAACAGTTTAATTATAATTAGAAAATATGTGGAACGGCAGGGATAAATCATACAAAATATTACCCAGTAAGTTATGCAAAATTTTGTGGTGGTAAGGTAAAAGTTGAGACAAAACAACAAAATTTTGTTTTGTGTGGATAATTAGTTAATTTCTTTTTAAACTTTTCGGTTCACCAGTTGTCACGTTGTTTCTTTTCTAATTTCTAATTTTTATGGGATTGTATATAAACAAGTATATACTTCCAACATACACTATATAGTATTAAAAGATTGCGGTGGGAAAATGGATTAGAATCATTAGCCTTACTGATAATTTATTAGTAAAGTAGCCAAACAAGAGGTCCCTTACATATGATGTCTCATTTTCTTTTACCTTACACATTTTTCCTTGATGCCTAATTTTTATGTACTTATATTATAAAAATAATTTTAGCCAACAACTACCTTGATCAGTCTAATAGATCCTACACAGCTAAACCCGTACATGTAAGAAGAGTTGAGCAAGCTGTGGACACTAATATGTTTTTACAAGGTGTACACAACCAATTACTGTTAAGTAGTGACTCTGATGATTCTGATGATGACATGGGCAATCTTAGTGATATCAATATAGATACTATTTTGAAAGGTTGGTTTTTATTTCTTAGTTTAATTTGTCTGTGTTTATTACACTTCAATATTTCCAGATTCAGAACCTAACTCTACCAAGGAATATTACAATCTTAAAACTGTTTCTGCTAGGCGGAAATGGCTTGCTGATGTTCTACAAGAAAGTTCTGATAGTAGTCCTGATGATGTACAATATAAGCATGTTATGAGGTTGCATTCATATCAGAAATCTTTAAGAAAAACAAAAGAGGTTAGTATGTAAATAACTTTTTTATTAGGAATCTCTGCTAGTCTTTTAACCAATCTCATTAAATTCAATTTTCTGATGTGTATATTCTTATGTGCATCTCATTTGAATATTTGGCCTTATGCACTTTTTATCAGCAGTTTAAAATACATAACCCCATTAACAGTTTAAAGTACAATATAAATTATCACAGTTGGGATTCAAAACTTGAAATTGATACATATCACAAAGCAAGTGATCTTTTAACTGAGTTAACACTTTCAATGCCCCCCTACTCCCATCAGAGTAGGGCGGAGCTTGACACATGTGCCGGCAACTCCGATCAGAGTAGTTGGCTTCACTTCGCTTCACATGTCAGTAGATGATTGGCTTCGATCATTAATGTATGTCTCTCAGTCTGGCATAGCTGAAAGGTATTACGAGACATAATTTATCGGCTTGGTTTTTGATTTCAACATTTTGATGTGTAATACCTGCCTAAAATTGTGTTATTACAAGTGTTGTTTGTAGGACTTTTACACTTTTTATATTACAAAAATGAGTGGAGAAGACCAGGCTTGGCTGTCGCGAAGCAAACACAAGTGCTCTCAGTGCTGTGCAAGGAACACAAAACTGTTAACTCAGGAAGAACTTGAATATGCAGTGAATACAAGTGATTATGAACTTTTCTCATCAAGTGACTCAGAATATGAACCATCTGAAGGTTTAGTATCTGATAGTGACCACAATGAAGAAGTCGAGCAGGCACAGCAGCCACCAGATAAAAACTTACTAACCTTGCCCAAACAACTGTACCCAAATGTTTAGGTCCAAATACCGGTTGGGCAAGCAATTCTCAAAGTCCAAATGAAATGAAAATTTTCGATTTCACAAAAAAGCAGTAATTGTTAGTAGCAAAACCAGGAAACAACCCAATTGATTTCTTCTTTTTACTGTTCGACGAGAATTATCATAAAAAATAAAATAATAGAATAGAATAGAAAAATAATAGAAAATAAAATCATGCAATGACCTATCTCTCCTGACAGGAGAGATAGGGGGGGGGGGGTAAAAAAGGGTGTTAAATTCATTCTTATTAACTCCATGTAATGAAAAAGAAATATTGAGAGAGATACAAATCCTAAAAAATGGGATGAAGGGAGGTGAAGATAACATTTGTTCGAATTTAATTAAAAAATATAAAGAAAAGTTAATAAAGCCACTTCAGCATATTATTAATATAGTATTTGGTACTGGAGTCTTCCCAGAAATTTTAAAAACGGCAATAGTACTGACAATTATATAAGCAAGGTGACAGAAAGTCTAAAAACAACTATAGACCGATTGCATTAAGTAGTACTGTAAGTAAAATAATTGAAAAATGCTTTAAAACAAAACTACTAAAATAGTCTAGTAAAAATCTAGAAAAAAATAAAATTCTACACTCAAATCAGTTTGCGTTCAGGGAAGGCTGTAGCACCAAAAATGCACTTTGTAAAGTTACAGAAAAAATACAAAAAAAACTTAATGAAGGTAAGAAAGTAATAGGTATATTCATGGATCTTCGCAAAGCATTTGACACTGTAGCACACCCAATTCATTTAAAGCGTTTAGATATGATAGGCATAAGAGGTATTCCTAATAATTTAGTAAAATCTCATTTAACAGGCAGGAAACAAAGTGTAACAATATCAGAGACAGAAAGTGAAAAACTGGAACTAGAGGTAGGGGTGCCACAGGGTACTGTGTTGTCAGCTCTGTTATTCAATGTATATTATGTATATAATGTATACAATGTATATAATGTATGATTCTGTGGCTGTAATTAGTGGAGATGATTGGTACGCGGTAAAAAGAAATGCTGAATTGGCTTTTCAAAAAATTAATGGGTGGTTAGAAGATAGCTTACTCTCACTAAATGTTGAGAAAACTAAGATTATCACTTTCTCGCTGTCTACTTGTTCATTGCCAGATTTTCAAAACATTAAATTACATAAAGTGGGCTGTAAATTAGATAATAACGATAGTTGTAATAAAGTAGTTAAAAGGACACCATTTTTAAAGTACTTGGGAGTATACATTGATGAAACTTTTCAATGGAAAGAACATATAAATTATGTAACTAATAAAGTTAGAAAGCTTATTTTTAAATTCTACGAACTAAGAAACATACTAAATTTTAAAGTACTTAAGCAGGTATATTATGCGTTTATAGAATCGGTAATTGGTTATGGCATAGTAGTTTGGGGAAATGCGGGTACAACAATTCTTTCAAAACTCAGAATAGCACAAAAATGAGTCATAAAAATTATGCTTTTCAAAAATAAAAGGTATGCAACTAACTTATTATATAGAGAAAGTGAAATATTAAATATTGATCAACTGTATAATAAGTGTGTAATTAGATTTATGTTAAAAAATACATATTATAAAGTAAACATAGAACACGGTATAAATACAAGAAATGTAACCCTAAATAACATAAAAGTGAGTAGTCCTAAACATACACTATGTCAAAATCATATATATATATATATATATATATATATATATATATATATATATATATATATATATATATATATATATATAAACGAAGAATGATTACAGCTGTCCAATTATTAATTAGTATAATGGTAAGGTTAATTGGGTTAGCAGCTGCTAACCCAATTAACCTTACCATTATACTATATATATATATATATATATACTGTAGGACCAAAATTATTTAATAAGTTACCACAGAATATTAGGGCAAAACCTTACCATAAAGTAAAAAAAGAAATCTTTAAATGGATTAGAGGCAACATAAAATAGGGAATTATTTAAAACAAAAAATTACTTTTAGTTTAATTTTATTAGAAAAATTGTATGTTTAATTTATATTGTTTTTATTATTTTTTGTTAAATTATTGATAAAAACCTCATTAGTTAATTGTAAATGATATGGGAAATGACACACTCACAATATCCTAGATATCATTGTGTGTCAAAACGGTTAGCAGTAGGATTTAGTGTTAAGGAGGTGTAAAAGAAACTAAATTATTGTTAATTTTTACTACTATTTTCTTACTGAAATGTGATTTATTGTCTATTATTTGTATTTGCACTGTACTATTGCTAATAAATAAATGGTAATATTTTATTACATAACCAATTTTATGAATTTCATTATTCAAGA